ACACATTTTTCTCCTTATTAGAGAATCTTAAACCATGGCAAGAACCAAGCAGACCGCTCGTAAGTCCACAGGAGGCAAAGCCCCCAGGAAGCAACTGGCCACCAAGGCTGCCCGTAAGAGCGCCCCGGCCACCGGCGGCGTCAAGAAGCCCCATCGTTACAGGCCCGGTACCGTGGCTCTCAGAGAGATCCGTCGTTACCAGAAATCCACCGAGCTGCTCATCCGCAAGCTGCCCTTCCAGCGTCTGGTCCGTGAGATCGCTCAGGACTTCAAGACCGACCTGCGCTTCCAGAGCTCTGCTGTCATGGCTCTGCAGGAGGCCAGCGAGGCTTACCTGGTCGGTCTCTTCGAGGACACCAACCTCTGCGCCATCCACGCCAAGAGGGTCACCATCATGCCCAAAGACATCCAGCTGGCCAGAAGGATCCGCGGAGAGAGAGCTTAATCTGTCTACTGCCCCAAAACAACCCCAACGGCTCTTTTAAGAGCCACCACTTCATATTCGAGACATATTCCTGTACTGTCTCTCATTTAGAGTGATGACTTTATTATTTTATTCTAGTGCCTTGTTGTCAACTATTTCTGTCATGCAGTACTGCAACAATGTCACAATATAGTCATGTATATAGAAACCGTATATATAGAGGATAAACATATTACAAAGTTATTAATATAACACACACTACATGTATGTTACATTTAATTTGTTTTCCACTAAATTATATTTGAATTTGAGGAGTTATTCAAATTAATCACCAGAGTTTGCCAGTTAGATAACCACTACACATGTATATTTAATATGTATTATCTCATAAAGAGACATTGTCAATATTTAATCTCATGTTTCTTGAGAGGTGCAGATTTCTAGAATCATCGTTCAGCTAAACGAACTTCAGTAAATCACCAGAACACACTATCAACTCAGGAATCACTTCCTTGTTGACTTTTTAATTTTTTCAATAAATAATTGAGTCCCATTGACACCATTACTTCTACGGGCCTTTAAGTTTGGATCACAAACGGCTTCACTGATGACCACTTGGAATAAATATAACAGTGATCCATAAAGACTTGGATTTGCATCTCAGCATTTCCTCAATCAAGGTCCATTTTAAAAGACATACATTACAAAAAAGAGACAACACACATATACAGTGGGTACGGAAAGTATTCAGACCCTTTTACATTTTTCACTCTTTGTTTCATTGCAGCCATTTGCTAAAATCAAAAAAGTTCATTTTATTTCTCATTAATGTACACTCAGCACCCCATCTTGACAGAAAAAGAAACAGAAAGGTAGAAATTTTTGCAAATTTATTAAAAAAGAAAAACTGAAATATCACATGGTCATAAGTATTCAGACCCTTTGCTCAGTATTGAGTAGAAGCACCCTTTTGAGCTAGTACAGCCTTGAGTCTTCTTGGGAATTCACACCTGGATTTGGGGATCCTCTGCCATTCTTCCTTGCAGATCCTCTCCAGTTCTGTCAGGTTGGATGATGAACGTTGGTGGACAGCCATTTTCAGGTCTCTCCAGAGATGCTCAATTGGGTTTAGGTCAGGGCTCTGGCTGGGCCAGTCAAGAATGGTCACAGAGTTGTTCCGAAGCCACTCCTTTGTTATTTTAGCTGTGTGCTTAGGGTCATTGTCTTGTTGGAAGGTGAACCTTCGGCCCAGTCTGAGGTCCTGAGCACTCTGGAAGAGGTTTTCTTCCAGAATATCTCTGTACTTGGCCGCATTCATCTTTCCTTCAATTGCAACCAGTCGTCCTGTCCCTGCAGCTGAAAAACACCCCCATAGCATGATGCTGCCACCACCATGTTTCACTGTTGGGATTGTATTGGGCAGGTGATGAGCAGTGCCTGGTTTTCTCCACACATACCGCTTAGAATTAAAGGCAAAAAGTTCAATCTTGGTCTCATCAGACCAGAGAATCTTCTCACAGTCTGGGAGTCCTTCGTGTGTTTTTTTGGCAAACTCTATGCGAGCTTTCATATGTCTTGCACTGAGGAGAGGCTTCCGTCGAGCCACTCTGCCATAAAGCCCCGACTGGTGGAGGGCTGCAGTGATAGTTGACTTTGTGGAACTTTCTCCCATCTCCCTACTGCATCTCTGGAGCTCAGCCACAGTGATCTCTGGGTTCTTCTTTACCTCTCTCACCAGGGCTCTTCTCCCACGATTGCTCAGTTTGGCTGGACGGCCAGGTCTAGGAAGAGTTCTGGTCGTCCCAAACTTCTTCCATTTAAGGATTATGGAGGCCACTGTGCTCTTAGGAACCTTGAGTGCTGCAGAAATTATTTTGTAACCTTGGCCAGATCTGTGCCTTGCCACAATTCTGTCTCTGAGCTCCTTGGGCAGTTCCTTTGACCTCATGATTCTCATTTGCTCTGATATGAACTGTGAGCTGTAAGGTCTTATATAGACAGATGTGTGCCTTTCCTAATCAAGTCCAATCAGTTTAATTAAACACAGCTGGACTCCAATGAAGGAGCAGAACCATCTCAAGGAGGATCAGAAGAAATGGACAGCATGTGAGTTAAATATCAGTGTCACAGCAAAGGGTCTGAATACTTATGACCATGTGATATTTCAGTTTTTCTTTTTTAATAAATTTGCAGAAATTTCTATATTTCTGTTTTTTCTCTGTCAAGATGGGGTGCTGAGTGTACATTAATGAGAAATAAAATGAACTTTTTTGATTTTAGCAAATGGCTGCAATGAAACAAAGAGTGAAAAATGTAAAGGGGTCTGAATACTTTCCGTACCCACTGTACATTAGAATAAAAACATTCCCGCCTCTTATAAAAGGCACCTATACCAATGTCTCCAAAGGTATGACTGGTAGCTTACTGCACTATAACTTGGGTTCGACAGCAGCATTATAATTACATTCTGAGTCATTCAAGCGACCGATAAATCTGTACATAAGGTTCCTCAATATAGCTTGTAAGGTCTTAACTCCTGCATTCACAAATAGCTCACTTGCACTACTCCACCTTGGCTTTTTAAGTAAGATCCTAAAACAACCATTGTAAGCAACCTGAAGTCTGTGCATACTTGATTTTTTGAACTTACCCCATAAGGGAGCAGTATACAGGGGAGTGCAATATGCTCTAAAGTGACAGATCTTTACATGATCAGAACACATGAAATTTTCTTGCCAACAAATTGGCTTGGGCATACAATGTACGACACTGTCTAGAAATGTTGTCATCGTCAGACATTTGATCTGTTATAAAGTTCTTCCCCAGAAAGATAGAATAGTGGAAAGTGAGGTCCTTATCTCCCTTTGCCCTACATATCATCACACTGCTCTTATTTGAATTATATTGCACGTCATGTTTGGTACCTGCTGCAGCTGCTGGTCAGAGGGGGGCGCTAATGCTTCATAAAAATGAATTATGACATATTCAATGTTTGTCCGTGTTAGATAAAGAAAGCATATTAATTTAAAGTGTAGGCATACTTAAATGGGGGTGAATGTGATTATTACATGAATGTTGGAGGTATTCTAATGAGAGTCAGACATCCTGAAGATTAAAGAGTGAAAATGAAACAAAATAACAGATACGTTACATTCTCATTGAATGAGCTCATCCATATTAAATAAATCAGAAAGAAGGATGAAGTTGTGCAGGACGATAACAAGTCAGTCTGACTGAACAAGTATTTTAATCCAAATCACAAAAATGATAAAAATGAGAGTAAAAAATAATGAAAATAATTGTTGATTGTTAGAATATTTACATACTAGTGAGGTAGACATCTTGTGTTATTACAACACTTAATCACCTTTAAAGAATAGTATCTACCTGTAACTTGTGATCGTCACAGTCCCAGTTTATTCAACATGTTCTCTTCGCTACAGTTAATAAACTCCAGACCATTCAAAGTTGAAATAAATGTGTAGAAACTTATCAATTTAGAGGTGTAAAAAAATAAACTAAATATACATAAACAGTTATAATCATGTGTTTGACTCAAGGTGAATTGTCCTGCAGTGAATAAGTGATGATGGTCCAGTTATCACGATGAATCTAAACTACAGAAACTATCTACATGTCATCAACAGCTTCTAACTGAAGGAGACAAAATAAAACACTTATGAATACTCAGTAACCAGGCTGTTCTGGAGAATCTGGAGGATTTTACTGACAATCATGTTCAATTAATTTGGTTTCCTTAAAATTTAATTTCAATTTTTTAATACAACAAGCGCTCCACCATCACCTCCAGGGAGATCCAGACCGCTGTCCGCCTGCTGCTGCCCGGTGAGCTGGCTAAACACGCCGTGTCTGAGGGCACCAAGGCTGTGACCAAGTACACCAGCTCCAAGTAAACCCGCTGATCACTAGTAACAAAACGGTCCTTTTAAGAGCCACACAACATTTCATCAAAGAGCTGGATTCATTCCGAACCAATTATTTGTTTCCTATACAACTATTACAAATAAAACAATACAATTTAGGTGATTAAGACAAACGATATCAATGGTCAAATAGTTTTTACCAAGTCGGACTTAACCGGTGAGCAATCTTTTTTTTTTTTTAATATGCCAATTCATAAAAATCATGCAAAAGATTAAGACTCCCAGACCATATCGGGTGATCGTTTGCTGGTTTGGATCAGTCTCCAGATTGCATCACTCTTCAAGGTCACACTAATTGGCTGTCGACTACACAAACTTCTTAAACGGTCTGAATAATTTTAAATGTCTTGAGTGCATTACATTGTATTGTAAACAGAAACATAGACTTTACAAGTATATGAGGTATACATAAATTTCTGTCTGAAAGGCTGCATTGGGGATCCATCTCGTCAAGTGGGTTGACAACTAATCTTTTGGAAATGAAGGAACATTTCAACGACACTTATTTTTAGTGCATCAACAATGTTGATACCCCCTTAAAGATCCTTCTTCAGAACTAGAACTAATATATTTGTTTGCCATGAATTTGACATGGGATGTTAAAAAGAAATAGAAATAAAAATGTCGGATATAATAGGTATAAATCTTTAAAGGAAATGTGTGGCTCTTAAAAGAGCCTTTGGGTTTCAATGTGAGTGGGTCAGGATCAGGTTTAACCTCCGAAGCCGTACAGAGTGCGTCCCTGTCTCTTCAGAGCGTAAACCACATCCATGGCGGTGACGGTCTTTCTCTTGGCATGCTCGGTGTAGGTGACGGCATCACGGATAACGTTCTCCAGGAACACCTTCAACACACCACGGGTCTCTTCGTAGATGAGACCAGAGATACGTTTGACTCCACCACGACGAGCCAGACGGCGGATAGCGGGCTTGGTGATTCCCTGGATGTTATCACGGAGAACTTTACGGTGACGCTTAGCGCCTCCTTTACCGAGTCCTTTACCTCCCTTTCCTCTTCCAGACATGTTAACAGATCAGTTGTTGAAAGCTGAATGAGTCTGAGGTAGGAGTCACGTTTTTCTAAATCTAGTCTCTGAGAACCTTATAGAAGTCAGAGAGCTGCTTTCTTCTTCTTCGCTCATCTTTTTTCAAAGCAAAATCCTATGAAGCATTAGCGCCCCCCTCTGATCAGCAGCATGAATCAGGGACAGTGTGACTCCTGTTAGACTGACTGAGCTCTACATTGACCAGGAGGTGAAGAAAACATCCAACATCTTGGAGTGAAATCATTCACACCGAGTTGAAGTAAGATTACTACAGTTTGTATTCTGTTTCTAAACAAACGACACAACATGCTGCAGCAGGGATCATTTCAGCACCTCGGAGAGCGAAAGTCATCAAAAACATCCAGGAGAGGAGGACAGGAAGCTCTAACAGCACACCTTCAAAAAATCATGACTGAAAGTTGAAACAAAAAGAAAGTCTATAACAACCCAACAAAAATATGTTCTACTGTAATTTATTTCAATAGCACAAAATCAACACACCGAGAGAGCAGAAACAATACATAAAACTGAAAATAAATAAATCAAAACTTTATTTTACAAAACTTTTAAATCCCAAAAGTGAAGCTTTGAAATTAGTTTAGTTTTATTGTGTTCAAGCTAACTTAACATCATCTAAAAACATTATCACATTTTTTCTTGTTAGTTCTTACCCACTTTTGAGATTTGACTGTTTCCTCTCTCTTTTTTTATTTCTACTTATAAATTCAATTATCTGCACATTACCTGGCTCTGTTCCTGTCTTAACCTGTTCATAAGGAAGCTCCTCACTTCAAACTCTGTTTCTTTTTAGAAGAGTCTTTTATAATATTTAGCAAATTCTTCATCTACTTTGTCTCATTCTGTCACAAGTTCAGCTCACTTCCTGTTTTCAAGTCAGTCATTTATCCTGTCTTGCTTCTTTAGTCTATATGCTAGAAGTCATAATTCATGTTTTGCATAATTTCATTAATGTCTCCACTTCCTCTGTTCGGATCATTTCCTCATCTTTGTGTTTCTTTCTTTTTCATTTAATTTTAGAAAAAAATGTATTTTGTACAGTTTTATTCCAAACATTGTACATGTTGCTGTAATGTCCTCTGTTTGATTGTTTTAATCTTTATTTAAATGTTGTGTTGTGATATGAGAAACACTGCTTTATCTCATTCCCAATAAAGTCATCGGATTTATATCCCCAGTGACATTTATCTCTAAGTTTCGTAGTTGTAGTTATTTAACTTATGTAATATAATGTCACGATGACATGATGTCATGAGTCCCCTTTGCCTATTTAAATATGTATAAATGTGACATGAACACAATAAGGGAGGATGTCATATGTAACATAAAATAAGAAATAAAGTGTAAAAAATTCAAATGGAAAACTGTCAATAATGCAGTGATTGTATCTTCCTGCTTTCAGAGTGTGTCCTGGTGATTAACTGAAGTTATTTAAGCTGATTAAGTGATAACGATAGATGAAAAAATATAAAGGCCATATCAGAAAACTGTAGACAAAAACCTCAGGTGATCTGTAATCTCTCTGTATTCGTCATGACACTCTGGGAGACATTTGGAACAGTTGGACATCGTTCTCTTCTGAAGGGTCGCTCACAGTGACTTTAAAAAGAGACAAACTCTCCTACAGTCTCAATACATCAAAGAACATTTAAAACAACTAACACTACAGAAAACAACCACACCCACAGACAATCAACAGCAGAACGTCTACCCAAAGGGACTCCACACCTCCACACAATAGAATCAAACATGGAGAGCAGAGCAAAGGGAATCACACTGTTCTTAAAAGAGATGATAATTACCAGTTGGTCAGTCACAGAGAGGTGATTCAAGAAGTCCTGAGATGAAAATCCAGCTTCACTCTTCTCTAATCCAAAGTGCTTCACAAGTTTATTAAAATTCCCTTACAGTGTAAAGTTCAAAAGGAAAAGTTAAAGTGATGACCAGATGATGGATGAGTTTACCTGAAGACCTGAGGTCAACGCACAACGTTTATATCCTGATAATTATCATTATCGTTTCATCTCCACGGCTTCATGTCGATATTTATAAAAGCAAACTGAAGACCTTTTTATTCTGGCTTTTTACTGAATATATATTAAATATAGTATCTAACTTTGAAGTAGTTTTGATTAAACATATATTTTATATCTGAGTCTGTTTAGTTGATTTAAAGATCATCTTGTTCTTTTTTTTCCAGCTTATCTTTTAGTGTTTTATTATCTTCTTGTGTGTTTCCTCAGTCCATCAATCACTTTTTATAACAAGACTTTTTTATCATGTGCATGGATTGTGTGTGTGTGTGTGTGTGTGTGTGTGTGTGTGTGTGTGTGTGTGTGTGTGTGTGTGTGTGTGTGTGTGTGTGTGTGTGTGTGTGTGTGTGTGTGTGTGTGTGTGTGTGTGTGTGTGTGTGTGTGTGTGTGTGTGTTATATAAAGACACACATACATTTGATGAATATAGTTTTCATATGAGACTCTTTGATGTGTCTGTGGTGGTTCAGAGAACTGTGTCTTTAGAGGTCATTATTTGTTCCCATAGTGCGTCTTTAAAGATAATTAAACTAATGTGGTGGATCTTAACCTGCATTCATCATTGTTTATAATATCATCTACAGGCTATAACTAAAGTTAGTATTTTATCATCAGTAAAATGATATGGATCTGTATGAGAAGCATCCTGTAGCATCTTAACCATCTTTATGAATCACTGTTATATTTATTCAAAGTGGTCGTCAGTGAACCCGTTTGTGATCCAAACTTCAGAAACGGGTAGAAGTACTGTTATCAATTTCAATGTTTTATGGGATTCAATTATTTAATGTAAAAATTATAAAGTCTATAATGAAGACTCTTTAACAGCATCACCACTCATATCAATAATGCTAGACACTGTGTGTGTTTTTAATAATAATAACTCTAAGTGTACATACCTGGTATTATTCTATTATTGTATTTTTCTCATTATTTAACAGATATACATATGTTTTATTTTTAACTTGTTATTTTTAATAATTAGATTCCTGTTTTGTTGTAATGAAAAAATGTCCCCCATGGGGGATCAATACAGTTTATCTTTATGAAGAAATCTACACCTCTCAAGAAACATGAGGAAGATTAAATATTGACAATGTCTCTTTATGAGATAATACATATTAAATATAAATGTGTACTGTTTATCTAACTGACAAACTCTGGTGATAAATTTGAATAACTCCTCAAATTTAAATATAAGTAAGTGGAGAACAAATTTAATGTAACATACATGTAGTGTGTGTTATATTAATAACTTTGTAATATGTGTGTGCTCGACATTTATGGTTTCTATATACATGATCTATGACTACATTGTAATATTATTGAGGTTGCAGTACTGTCAGACAGAAATAGTTGACAACATGGGACTAGAATGAAATAATAAAGTCATCACTATAAATTGGAGACAGAACAGGAATATGTCTTGAGTGAAATGTGGTGGCTCTTAAAAGAGCCGTTGTGGTTGTTTTGGAGCAGTAGACAGATTAAGCTCTCTCTCCGCGGATCCTTCTGGCCAGCTGGATGTCTTTGGGCATGATGGTGACCCTCTTGGCGTGGATGGCGCAGAGGTTGGTGTCCTCGAAGAGACCGACCAGGTAAGCCTCGCTGGCCTCCTGCAGAGCCATGACAGCGGAGCTCTGGAAGCGCAGGTCGGTCTTGAAGTCCTGAGCGATCTCACGGACCAGACGCTGGAAGGGCAGCTTGCGGATGAGCAGCTCGGTGGATTTCTGGTAACGACGGATCTCTCTGAGAGCCACGGTACCGGGCCTGTAACGATGGGGCTTCTTGACGCCGCCGGTGGCCGGGGCGCTCTTACGGGCAGCCTTGGTGGCCAGCTGCTTCCTGGGGGCTTTGCCTCCTGTGGACTTACGAGCGGTCTGCTTAGTTCTTGCCATGGTTTAAGATTCTCTAATAAGGAGAAAAATGTGTCAGAGAACGGAGACGAGCTGCTTTTAAACCGAGTTAGCGGATACCGACCGGTGACGCTGCTTCAGACCTCTAGCCTCTGATTGGTGACAAAGCCGCGTCTGGAGCTCAGTCCCGCCGGGGGGAGCGAGCCCCTTCCTCGATCAGCGCTGCTCATTGGAGAAAAATTGTGGAGCTAAGCTAGGATGGTCCGCCCTCCGCTGCTCAGCCCGAAGCCTCTTTTCTGGTTGGAGGGGCAGAAAAACGCGCGCGCTACGCGGACATAAAGAGGAGGAATTGTCCGAATACGTTTCATTTCTTCTAGTACCGACTCTAGAGATTAACGTACACCATGTCAGGAAGAGGCAAAACCGGCGGAAAAGCCAGAGCAAAGGCAAAGACCCGATCCTCCCGTGCCGGGCTCCAGTTCCCAGTCGGTCGTGTCCACAGGCTGCTGCGTAAAGGAAACTATGCCCAGCGTGTTGGTGCCGGAGCCCCCGTCTACCTGGCGGCTGTGCTCGAGTACCTGACCGCTGAGATCCTGGAGTTGGCCGGTAACGCTGCCCGTGACAACAAGAAGACCCGTATCATCCCCCGTCACCTGCAGCTGGCTGTCCGCAACGACGAGGAGCTCAACAAGCTGCTCGGAGGAGTCACCATCGCTCAGGGAGGAGTGCTGCCCAACATCCAGGCTGTTCTCCTGCCCAAGAAGACCGAGAAGGCTGCCAAGAAGTAGACACCCAATCCTGACCTCAACAAACACAAAGGCTCTTTTAAGAGCCACCACATCACAACGAAAGAGCAAATACATTTCCTGAAATAATTCACTTGATGTTTTCTCGTTTGAGATGTCTTTCAGCTTCAATGTACTACGAACTATTTCTAGAAAGGTGGTCATCATATCGTTATAATATTATCAGAAACAGTTCTGGAAGCAGAGTTTTAAAAAAAATCATTGTGGGGAGACATATGGAGCACATTCAGCTAACAGAGGGTCATTAAACCAAGATTAATTATTCTGTGAGGAT